GCCAGAGCCTGGCTTGGCCAGAGGGCTGCTGGTGGCACTGGTCTTGCTGCCCTTGTGCTTCTCCGCCTCTGTCTGGAGAACCAGCCTGGGCTTCTGGACGCTGTGCGGCCTATCCGCTCAGCCCCACCCCAGCCCCCTGAGCAACACGGGGTCATGCGGGTGGACATTTGTAGCGAGAGATACAGTGATCTTTTAAATTAAATCCAGATCATCTCCCTCCCTGATAAAACCCTCCCACAGACCCCCGTCAGACTCAGAACAAGGTTCACGCTCCTCACTCACCACGCCCTCCAGGTTCTGCTGCGCCCTGGCCCTGCTGAAGTCTCCCCCATTGCCACGCTCCAGCCTCACTGCGTGTCCCCCGGACGTCTGTCCCGTCTTAGGCGCTTGTTGTTGTAACGTCTCCCTGCATTCAGGGTTCTGCTGTTGTCCAAACAGCCACCCAACGACGGAGCCCACCCTGGTTGGAGAACGGCTGCTTTCTGTTGCCGCTCCTCATGCAGGAAAACACCGGTCCCAGCCTCGGTCTCCTCATCCGTCATCTTGAACTGGATCCGGTGATGCCTCTGCACGCACCAGATTCTGCTCTCCCTCCTCCACGCACAAACACTAATTAGTCCTTGTGTCACGATGTATGCATGTAATTACACCTAATCGTTGGCTTCCTGGGACTTTGATCGTTAACGAGGTGCCACTCATCTTCAGGTTTCCCCGAACCCGTGGGTTTTGGCTGTGCCAACTGTGCCGAGGACGGTAAGTCTGTCTTCCTGGGTGTCACTGACAATTTCCCACAACATTTAAGACCAAAGCTTAGTTTGATTTCTGAGTTGCACCGACATGTCACACCGTTTTCAGCCAGCCAGCCGCCCCAGGACCACGGGGGCTGGTTATGACAGCACGTTGTTCCCAGAGACACTTCTGGACCGTAACAGAAACAGAGCCGCCCCAATGAGTGGGATCAGGTCATATATGTAAGACTTCAAATGAATGGTCTCAAGCCACGGGCCCACTTACCACACGGCTACCGTTATGGACTCTGGCGTTCCCGAGGTGTGACCAGTGCCCCCCTGCTGGACTTGAGATGATTTTCAGTGGTGGAAGGACACACATTTATTTTGACTATAACATCATGTTGCTGCCATTTTGGGGTTCCATCCTCTTTACGCCTAGTGATGGGGTTTTCACTGAACAATGGTTACATAAAATGTTCTTTAAAATAAACCTATTTGGTTTATGAAGTGCATTGATTTAAGCAACACCGCCAGGGAAACAAGAGTGTATGCGGCGTCCAGTCAAAGGCAGAAGGTGCGAGGGTGGGATTGGGAAGGACGTGCCTGTGGCCAGCTCGACCCCGTGGCCCTGCTGACGATAAACAGGGGAGCGTGTGCGGCATAGCTCACATGTCTGAGAGGCAAACAGTAGGCTGGAAACATAGGGAGGGAGAAGTGATAATGGAAAAGTGCTCCGAGGTGCAGTGGTGGATTGCTCTTCTGTTTCAAGTCACATTAGGAATCAATTTTGCATATATTCCCCTTAATGTTCCGAGACGTAGCAAGATCTAGGAGGGGCGAAGCCGCAGCTGGAGAAAAACCCTACACATCATTAAGATCTAGAGTTGGTCCTTAATGTGCCCATGGTCTCAAAACGAGGTCTAAATGGAGGCTTTTTTTCTGACTCCAGGGAATAGTGGTTGTAAATGTGTCTTTGCACGAGCCTTAGCTGTATTTTTTGCAGCTGGCATTGCTACATTTGAAACAAGTCCAAGAAAACAGATGTATCCATTAGGTTGGAAAGCAAAGTTGGGATTCTGGGAGTGCAGACTCCTCGGTGACTGGTGGAGACACAGTGTTCTTGAACCTGGAGCTTCAGCGGGGGCGAGAGCCCTTGCAGCTGTGTCTCCACCATGGCACCTGTCACACGGCCAGGGCCATGGTTTCTAAGCCACTGCAGCCTACACTGACTTGTAGACCCAACGCTCAGCTAAAGATGGTCTCCACATCTTAAACATGCTAGGAGTACATCCCACTGCATTTGCCAGTCTTGAGCTCACTTCTGTTTGGACTGGGGTATGCTAGTTTACCGACCATTTCCAAACTGAAGACGCGTCCAGGCCAGCTTGCTGCTTCCGTGGCAGGCTCACCAAGGCAATGCCCAGCCCAGCCCAGCCCACCCAGCACAATTCTGGAGCGCACTGTGCCTGCATCCCAGCCATGCCTACAAGCTCACAGCTAGGGGGATGTTATTGAACATAATGACAGGTGACGTTATTGGCTGTGAGTTTTCTGGCTTTGCTGAGCAGCTCGAGACATCCTGAGGGTTGATAAAGTGCTTCGTGCAGACAAAACTCCCCATCGCCTCCCTCCCTGTATTTCAAAATTCCCAGGTATCTGCCCATCCCCTTGACACAAGACATCTTCCCAGGCAGTTTGCTCCATCACATAGTTCGAGTCTGAAGAGCCGGCAGTAATTTCTCAGCTTGTCTTGTCCTCTTGCCTCCGATTATATTCCCGGATTTGGTCATTACTATGTGGCTACTTCAAACAAATTATCCCAGCACACAAGACCTGCCCGTAGCTGCCCTCCTTCCTAGATGGCCGGAACCACCAAACCTCAGACAGGGGCCAAGGGGCTGCGGACTCCCCAGCCTGGAGGAGAGGGAGGAGACGCGGAAGGGAGATTTCTGGATCCAATGAGTTTAACTTGAATACCCTCAAACTCAGACACCTTAGGTCTCCGGACATCCTGTTATCAGATGCTAAGAGTAAAGTCCACAGCCCCGCCAATCCTCTTCAACATCGAGGCTGTTCTGAGATCCCACCCAAAGACACCGGCTGGGCAGAGCGAGGCTGGGCCCCTCCCTGCAGTTCTAGAATACAGCGACTGTGGATTTGACAACACCCAATCTTTCTTCCGACATCACTGACTTTCTTCCCCAAGGCTGTTCCTCTCCACAAGCTACTCCTCAGACTGTCGATCCCACCAGAACCTCCTGAGCCCCCAGGACCCTCCCAAGCAGCACTTCAGCTGGGGGCAGTCAGGGAGTGGTTTCCAGGGCTCTGGAAACTCACATCTCAGGAAAGAACATCTCGTTCCTTTTCAAAATCATCTACTGTGGCGGTTTCCTAGCAACCCATTATTAGAGGGCTTCTTGGTGGTTATAAAAAGATCTTCCTCTGCAAAGTGTGGTTCTGGTTTCGAGAAGCCCAAGTCCTCTCTGTACCAGCCACTGGGGTCACTGAGGGAGATGGCACCCAACCATGCCTGTCCTCAGGGCCAACGTGGCCACCCCCTTCCTCTGTTCCCCTCAGGACAGGAGCAGCGGCCAGATGCTGCCGCTCAGCCCACCCCCCGCCCCATGGAGCACCAGAGATGCTGTGCACAAGCAGGGGATGGTGCACACGCGGCGCCGAGCTGGGCACCCTCCCAGCAGGCTCAGTTCCCTTCCTCTCCACACCTCTCCCCGGAAACTACACAGCTGCCAGAGGGAAAGGCGAGGCGGTGTGTCTCCAGTAGCCCCAAGTCTGACTTGTATCCAGACTGCCCCATGGCATCGGACCCCCACCCCAGTGCCAGGGTGTGCCTGTGCATGTGCGGGCATGCATATGTGTGTGCACGTGTGTGCGTGTGTGCATTTCTCTGGGGAGAGGGTGTGGAACTTTCCTCAGATTCTCAAATGGCTGTGGAATTGCCTCCCCCTGGCCCCCCAGAACTGTTTGTAATGGCAGCCAAGCACACCCTCACCCTGTGGGGTGCACACCCACACAGTGTGGGTTCCGGGGCCCCTGCTTTAGGAGAGCAGACTGTCCTCCTCACGTATCCTAAATCCGTGTGAGCTAGAGGAGCCTAGTCTCTGTCCTGGGTGTGAGATCTTAGCTCCGTGGAAGCCCACCCTCCTCATCTCCAGAGTGGGAGTCAGGAGGCACTTCTCCTAGGATCTTTGAAAGAACAAATGGGGTCACCCCTGGAGAGGGCCCCCCACAACGCTGGTCCTGGGTGGGCACTCAGGACCCTGGAGCCCTCCTGTTCCTTCACTCAAACACGCAGGCTGAGAGCGGGGACACAGTGCGTGGAGCATCAGCCCCAGCGAAGGCTCACCCTTTATCTATTGAACGGGACAGAGCCGCAGCCCGCCTGGCTGCTTCCTAGAAAAATATGGTCAAAGATTTTCAAACCTTCTTTTCCAGTATGAACACCAAAACAAAGCAGAACTCCATGGTCCCATCTGCGTGCCTGCTGGTTTCCTGTGGGACCGTCCTCTCATCCCACACAGGGTGGGTCCTCGCCCACCTGAGACAGGCCCAGCCACGGCTTCAGCACCCCTGCTCATTAACACCCCGCCCTCGGGACGGCGGCGATCGGAATCCTGACTCTGCCTCACGACTGCAGGTCGGGGTGGGCAGGGAGCTGGTCCAGCACCCACGTCTTATGATGGGGTAATGCTGGATTGGCAGGGATTGGCAGGGGAACCCTGCTCTCTGGACCCGCGGTTCTCAACCTTGGCTGCATGCTAGAATCGCCTGGGCAGCTGCTGAAAATGCCCAGTGCTCAGGCCGCCCCCGAGCCCAGTGAGAGCAGGGAGTCCGGGCGGGTCACTGAGGCTCCCCTGAGAAGCCAACCGTGGTGAAGCCAACGCCTGCTGCTGCTTCTAGGATGGAGCTGCAGCTCCTTAAAACGCCCTGACCTGTGTCCCCACCACCCAGTCCCAGGTCCCCAGCCTCATTTCCGCCCCCGCTGACCCCCACCTGATGGCGCCTCTCCCCCAACACAAGTGCCCTCGGGTGACTTGTTTCCAGGCCGCTGGTCCCTCTGCCCAGGGGCTTTCTCGTGTCCTCGCGCCCCCTCACCCAGCAGGTGCTCTTTCTCAGTCCCGCACAAACATCACCTCCCCACCAGGTCTCCCCGCCTCTCCTCTTGTTTTCCTTTACAGTTTTTTACTGAGGGGAGGGATTTTAAAAACACACATAAGAACAAAGACGAGTATACGCTCACATTCCCATTACCCAGAAGGGGTCGTCTTTGCCGCTTGGCCGTTTGAGCTCCAGCATCTTCTCTGTCCTGAGACAGGGAGCACCGCAGGAGCTGTGCAGAGGGCTTCTGCGGCCGCCTCTCATCCCTTCCGTCGTCGTGTGCACACGGTGTGGTGGGAACTGCCTGCCTGGCCAGACCCTGGGATGAGTTGCGGTGACAGACGTCATGACGCGGGTGGAAAATCATGGCCACATACTTGGCTGTAACGTCGGGGAAGGTTCCAGTGCCCTTTAGCTCCTGAGGTCAGAGCTCCTCTGTCCTACACGACAGCTCATTGCACGGAATACAGACACGTGTCGAATTCTTCCACAAACAACGGCATCCTCGGTCCTTCTAAATGTGCCCCAAACAACTCCCCACTGTGAGTTCACCTGTGGCACAGCGAAGGCGAGCCCCAGGGCAGGCTGCCTTCCTCCCCAGGGACCACTCTCCTGCTCCCAGCCTGACCTGCAGTTTCTGTGGATACCCTGGTGTCGTGAGTACTTTCTCTTGGGCATGTACTTCCATAGCCAGCAAGAAAGATGACACATTTTCACTTTTCCTAAATACCACCAAATTGCTTTCCATATGGCTGTGCCCCTTAATACCCCCACCAGGGGCTGGACCCCTGGTCCTCGCCAGCATGGCGATGGCAGGTGTGAGAGGATGCCTCCCGTGAATGTGTTTTCCTGGATGACCAGTGAGCTTGAGCGTCTCTCAGTCGTCTGTTCACGCTTCCCAGCACTGGCCACGTGGGAGTCTCTACCACATTGGGTGGCACGGGGGGCCAACAACTCCCCAGGTGATTCTGGCACAGAGCTGGGTCCAGGCCCACAGAGCCGGGCTCTCCTGTGTTTCCTCGCAGGACGGTGAGTGTGTGAGGGCCGGACAGAGGCGTGTGCCTCTCTGGAGCCTGGAAAGACTGTGCCTTCGGAGATGCCTGAGCGTGGCTCCACACGTGGCCCTGGTCTTGCTGACCGACTCCAGCTTGCTATGCCCAGAGCGTGTGGCCCACCTCCAGCCATGCACACCAGACTGCCCATCCTACTCACTTTTCAATGGACGTGTGTCTGTTTTGCTTGCACACGGCCTGTTTCCCCTCCTTTTGGGGAGGGCACCTGATCTGTGTTTCCACACCACTTCTGACACCAAATGTGTGGGGTTTTCTATATGACCAGTTCTCCAGCTCTCTGGACACCAGCTGGGTGCTACAGTTCAGTTCAATTCTAACACTGACTTCCCGGGGTCAGTGCAGACCCCACAGGCTAAGGGCTCAGTCCCACAAGACCACCCCACTTCAGACGCCGGCCGCAAGTCCCAGGTTGCCACCTGCCCTTCTGACTAACGCCTATAAATTGGGGGTTCCAACGACCTCCTCCTGGGGTTCCATAATTTGCTAGAACAGCTCACAGAACTTGAGGAAACACTTTACTGACGATTACTGGTTTATTATAAGGATATTATAAGTGATACAGATGAACAGCCAGAAGAAGAGCATAGGGCGACGTCCAGAAGAGTCCCAAGTGCAGGGGCTTCTGTCCCCGTGGACTTGGGGCGCACCACCCTCCCCGCAAGTGGGTGCATTCACCAACCTGGGAGCTCTGCGAATCCCATCATTTAGGGGTATTTATGGAGCTTCCACTGCGTAGGCATGATTGATTAAATTATTGACCACTGGTGATCAACTCAACCTCCAGCCCCCTTTCCTCCCCGAGGTCAAGGGGTGGGACTGAAAGTTCCAACCCTCTAACCATGTGGTTGGTCTTTCTGGCGACCAGCTCCTCCCTGCAGCTCTCCAGGGGCCTCCAGGCAAGCGCCATCTCATTTGCCTAACAAGGCATGTCCATCACAGAGGGAGTTCTGAAGGTTTCAGGAGCTCTGCGTCAGGAACTGGGGGAGAAGACTGAATATCTATTTCTGACTATGTCACAATATCATGGCACCCCAATATTCCTTAGGGTGCTGTCCCTCCCCTACTCCTCTCTGCAGCTGGCTCAGGCAGCGATGGTGCCTGTGGTGGTCATGTGACCTGGGAGTGGCCAATCAGGGCCTTCCGTCTTAGAATAGTGCCAGCTCTGGGCAGGCATGTGAGCCCATCAGGGCCATGAGCCACTCCTGAGAATTTGCTGGAACCACTGGGAGGAGAGAATCTCTTTCTACAGAACTGGGGAGTGAGGGGGTGTAAGCTCGGTGCTACTCTGGGCCTGGTGTTGGGGAGTTCTGCTGGGGCAGGCTAACGTGAAGGATGACAGATCTATGGGATGAGAAGGAAGCCGATGACATGGACATTGTCTGGGCTCCTGGATGCTGCCACGCCTGAAGCTGACACACCTCTGCACGTTCCATTTACATGCGCCACAGATCTCTCCTTTGAGAGTTGGCTCTGCCCCGTGCAATGAAAGAGTTCAGACTCTTCCGTTCCAGGCCTCTGCACCGTTGGTCCGTCCTCGTGGTTTCTTGCTCGGGTGGCGGCAGCTTGCACACTGGCACCTGCAGCTCGGGCCTCTCCCTGAACTGCTGAGGCTGCTGCTTGCCCGCTGGGTCCTGCTCTGTGTCCCTGGAGGTCAACCCCCATGCACCCAAAGCCAAACTTGCCTCCAGGTGAGAGGCGGGCGGGTCTGAGAAGGAGGCGGGAGGGACGCTGGACTAGGACCCACAGGCCAGGAGAGGCCGGGTCTGGGGCTCCAGGGAGGAAGGGGCACTGGGCACTTTTGGGAAGAGAAAGGGGGAGCTGCCCACGGGGTGCAACTGACCTCTCGGTTATTGGTGCCTTTGCCAGAGTCAGCAGGCAGGTGTGAGGCTGGAGGCCAGCACGGAGGCCAGCACGTAGAGTGGGAGTGAGAGGAGGCGAGAGTGGGGGTGACGGCCCTGCAGGGACAGCCCTCTGCCTCTCGACTCACTGCTGCCTGCCTGGGCCTCTGTCCTCGCCTGCTCAGGGCTGGCGGCCGGCACAAGATGGATGATGCACCGGAGGCGTCTTTGCAGAGCCGGCCTCAGGGGGGCGCTGGACGCTGTACCAATTTCCATCCCGGCCTCAGCACGGCCGCGTGGGCGGCTCTCCGACCTTCTAAAGGCCAGCCGGGCAGTGTGCAGGCCATGGCTTTCACTGCCCGAAAGAGGTGCCCAGAGTAATATATTTTCTATCGTCCCCTCTTACGGAAAACAAACCTGCTGGAAAAAAAGTGCCTCTTTTTTGGCAAGATAACTTGCAAGTTTGGTAACTTCCCTGACAAGAGACTCCTGTAAAAAACAACAAGTTTACATAGTTTATAATTCTGTTAAGTCTACTGCCTTTGCTGTGCTTCCTGGAGACACGAGACGGACAGTGGAAGCAGCGATATGCTTCCCGGCTTGTGGAGAGTGTTCTTACTCACCTGGCCCTTGTTCTGTGTGCTGCGGGTTTTCAGCTTTCAGTATCTAACCTGCAGAACCACTGGAAATGGAAATTTTTCTTATAATGGATTTTCATTTCGACGATTTAATAATCTAGTGACTTGATAGAGGCTGAGAAATGCAAGACTGAAGGTTTCTTTCAGATGGACCTTCCTATGTGGGAAAGCAAGGGGCTGGTGTGTCCCCCTGCCAGGACCACGGCTGACACACCTGTGAGGTCATTGCCTGAGGATGCCCCACCGGGAACTGCAGGCAGTGGAGCCAGCCGGGAGAACACCCCATCGCGGCTGGCCTGCTCCCCCCCACCCCGCGGCAGCAGAACCAAGCTCCTGCTGTGCATGGATTCCATCAGCAGGAGGCAAAGCTCAGAGGAGCAGAGATTCCGGCTGTAATCCCCCCGCCAAAGCTACCTGAACATGTAATCAAGTTACCCTTCATGTTTCCAAATAAAGTTGAACAGTCGAATGAGAAGATTTCATTTGGGAACCACACTTAAATTTAAATACCACCTGTCTCCCAGAAATAGGGATTTTTAGACTTTGAAATAACCAGACCGGGGAAATTGGTTTGGACCGACGCTTTGGCTGTATGTCTCTCTCTGTGGCATCGTTAATTGCTGGCGTGGACGGCTCACCACGGGCATACCAAGTACCCAGCAAGCTCCTTGAGGACCCAAGAGCATCGGGAGGTTGGAGCTGGGCCGGGGCCACCCAGAGGGGACCCCGAAGCTGTTCATGGATGCATGGGAGTGGCAGACGTGGTCAGACGCCTCACTGAGGAGACTGCACGGCTCATCAACAGGTGACTAATTAGCGGATGGACAGTGAGGTGTTTGTGGGGCGTGGGCACAGGAGGTGGGAGTGGAGCCAGGGGGAGGTTCCTTGCATCCAGAACGGCCAGGAGAGTCCGAATCCGGCAGTGACAACACAAACACGGCGCCTTCCACCCTAGCTGCCCATGCACGAGGACACCAGACCCACAACAAACGAGGTGATGGAGAAAGACCTCAGAGCTGGACTCGGTGAATATTACACAAAAGACACAAGAAGAAGGGAGAGGAGGAGCACCACTCCTTAGAGGGCCTCACGGCGGCAGGCCCTGCCCCTCAGCACCCCTCTTGTCACCGCCCCATCCACCCCTGAGGCGGCGTCTCTGCTCAGCAGGTTTCTCAGCCCCTGTGCTCACCCGGGGGTGCGGGGCATGGCGGCGGACCTCGCTCTGCTTTTCCTCAGTCACTGTCTTGTTTGCAGCCGTCCCCGAGTGGGTACGGCTGATGAGCTTCTAGCAGCAAGTGAAAAACACAAGCATAGATGCCCATTTCTTATTCCCCTCCGACAGAGAAGGTTGTTTTTCTTCCCCTGAGTGAATTTTCTTCAAAGCAATATTCTGCAGAAGAAATTCATTTCTTTATAACTAACTCAGAGATGGTGGAAACAGGCATGATGGGGCCACCCCCAAAAATCTGGGGGGCTTTCGATTCCCTGCACACTTTGCCAGGTGTGACCAACCTCTATGAGCTTCTCAGTCACACACAGGGGGGCTGCAGGGCGGGCTCTTTAGATTGACTTTTTGGGTTTAAAGCTCAGCTCTGTACTTCGAGCTGTGTGACCTTGAGTGAGAACCTTGGCCTCTCTGAGCCTGTTGCCTCTGCTGGGAACAGAGGATGATCAGAGAATGCTTCTCCTTCTCCAGGGCTGCTGAGGATCAAATGGGGCAGGAGGTGTCGGCACGGGTCGACTCCTTACAAGTGCTAATAAATGTGACTTCTTGTTAGCATCCTTGTTTCTGGGAGAGAAGGTGAAGGGCGTCGTCGGTGGGAGAGGGCTGGAGACCAGACTTGAGACTTGTTCTCGATCCACTTACAGGAGTCCCACAGCAGAATGCATTTAACCAGCTGACTATTCAGCTTTGAAGATATCTTCAAAGATATCTAGGTCCGAATCCCTGGAACCTGTGTATGTCACCCTACATGGAAAAAAGAGCTTGCAGACGCGATTATGTTAAGGATCTTGAGATGGGAGATCACCCTTGATTAGCCAAGTTCCTAAATGCAATCACAAGGATCCTTAAGAGACAGAGGAAGAGGGAGATTTGACCAAAGGAGAAGGAGATGTGAAGACAAAGCAGAGAGACTGGAAGATGCTACACTGCTGGCCCTGAAGATGGAGGAGGGGCCGTGAGCGAAGGAATGCAGGTGGTCTCTAGAAGCTGGGAAAGGCGAGGAGATGGATTCTCCCAGGGCCTGCAGAGGGAGCACGGCCCCATCAACACTTTGATTGTGACCCCCGGAAACTGATTCCAGACTTCTGACCTCCAAATGGTCAGATAATAAATGTGGGCTGTTAGCCACCTCTTTTGTGGTGACTTGTTAGGCAGCCACAGGAAACTAAAACAACTGTGGGGAGGCCGCCCTTCTGCATTTCAGAGACACAAAGAAGGGAACAGGCTTCAGTCATCAGGGCCGGGGTGTCCCAGCAGACCTCGGAAGGGCTGCGGCTTTGACCACACCTGCCAGTTTGTAGCAGACGCCCTCAACTCTAGACCAGGAGGACACCCAGCCTGGCCCCGAGGCTGCCTGGCAGCCAGTCCCCCCATCTCCAGGTATCGGGGCTCTGCTTGGCTCTCTGCTCGCTCTCCCAGGATGCAGTCTCTGGAGACTCAGGGCCGCTGTGAGCAAGGCCCACTGGCCCTGGGCAGCCAACACTTCTGCCCGGGATGGGGCCCCTGAGGACGGATGTCACAGTGGAACTCCAGGTACCTGCAGCCCCTCCCTCCAGCCCAGGGAGAAGGCGGCAGTCAGTGCCCCCTCCCAGATGCCCCTTGTGAGGATGCTCAAGGGGCCAGAGGAGAGCCTGTGACCAGGCCCAGGCACACGTGGGCCAGTGGCACAGACGGGCCCTGAAAACACTGCAGAGTGGATGCGTGCTGTTATCACACGTGCCCAGCGAGGTCCCGACATGCTGAAATGTTCCGAGTTCTGGGGTCCTCAGAGGGCTCACTGATTGGCAAAGACGAGCCGTGAAATTCCAGAAGACTGTCTCCCAGCCCGAGCCCCTGTGGGGGCTCCAGGACACCACCTGTGCCCTTAGCCTGCCAGGGCTCTGCCTTTGAGGCTGAGGCTCTGCCAGAACTTTCCGTGAGCCCTCTGACCCTGGCTCTGCCTACATCACAGCTTGGGAGCAGGCTGTGGCCCCTGCTCTGCCCGTCCTGGCTGTGTGTCTTTGGGCAGGTGACTCACCCTCTCTGGGCTCCATTTCTCTTGCTGTGGAGGGTGATGAGGCCATTCAAGGGATAACGGCGGGAAAGGTGCCTACAGTGCCCTGTGCCCCAAGACAAGGGTGCCAAGCCCTCCACTCTGGTTACTGCCCAGGCCTCAGAGCTCTCTGACCCAACAAAGATGCCGTAGTTCATGGTATTTCACTGTAACTTCGGGGAATTCAAGGACCCTGGAGCCGAGGGTGGTTAGAAATGAGTGAGGAGGGGCCAGAACATCCCGACAGGGCCAAGGAAGATGCGGGGTCAGCATTCCTGCATTCAAAGGTGCCGGACCAGCACCAAGAGCTAACACTGACTGACGCCGACCCATGGAAAGGTCCTGTTTTACAGGGGAAACTGAGGCCCAGGGAGGGAAAGCTACCTGCTCAGAGATACAACTAGAAAGTGCCAGAGCTGGGTCATATCCCTAAGGCTAACCCGAGAGAGCCCCACCCTCCCAAATGGGGCTCTGTGACCTTGGGCCTGGCTGACCCCAAAAAGAGTGTCCACGTGGGGTCAGGCCACTGGGAAGATGCTTGGGAGCAGTCCACACGAGAGCAGAAGCTGATCTCGGGGTCAAGCCGTAGTCACGCGGGGAAGCACTGACCTGAGTTCACTGTCCTGCGAAGCACAGGATGCCAGTATGAGGAGGGTCCCTTCTGGCTGTTGCTGCCCCCTCCCCGCAGTCCCGTGAGCCAGCCTCCCACCCCCCAGAAAAGCCTCTTTGATTGATCGGTGTTCCCTGCACTCTCCCCGACCCTGGAGCCGTGCAGCTCTCAAGAAAGAAGCATCCGGGCTCTCAGGTGCTCTTGTGGTGTCTCTCCTCCTCGCAGAGTCAGGGCCCAGGGCCTGCTCAGGCCTCCAGGTCTGGGGGCTTCAAAGCACTCTTGAGGTGGCCTTGCTGGCTGCAGGCCGCTGCCTCACATAGTGGGGAATCAGCCCTGCTGGGGCTTCAAAGGGGGCTGGGCCCTGGAACAGCGACTGGGGATCTCTCTGCAGAAAAAGCAGGTAGACGAAGGGCCAGTGCCCAGGAGCCTCCACACCCTGCTGGTCACCACAGATGCGCGGGCCCGGAAGGGAAGCAAGCGTCATTAAGAAAAGGTCAAAGTGTTCCGGGCTTGCAGGGATGGTGGGCACAGGTGCAGAGCCCCTCCCCTGAAGGCGGCAGAGGGGTTGATGCAAGGCAGCCCGGGAAGATCTACTGTCCTGGGACAGGGACCCCTGCCCACCCCAGGAGCGGGGACGTCTCAGATGGAGAGAGCTGCCGGAGGGACCCCGGAGACCGTGGGGGAAGAACCCTCTCCCGAGCCCAACAACCACGGTTGCAGAAACACGTTTGCAGGGATCCCCGGGGCTGAGTGTCCACACCCTGGAGGGCGAGAGGGGCCCCAGGTATTTCTGGAGGCGTGCTGGCCCTCTCCCTCCCAAAACCACAAACTGGAAACGCGGGACGGGGCTGCTGGGCACAGGTGCCAGAGAGAGCTGAGCGTGAAGATGAACTCCAGAATGCAAAATCCCTACACGCCTTTAGAGGATTCTGACTTAGGAACGTTGATAGCTTGCTCGAATTCCGATATTCATGGGACTATTTAAAATAATCCTCTTACGTCCTGAAACACATTTAACCTTTTCTCCCCCTGGAGTGTAACAGGTGGGTGTCAACCACCATCACACTGAAACCAGCCGGAGACGGGGACCTGCCTCTGGGAGGTTCCCAATTTAGAGCCATTTAAATGTAATTTCCTGATAGAAGTAATAAGACAGTTACTTAGTTTATTTAAGATATTAAAATATTATCTGGTTATTTGGAAACATTTATGGGGCTCATTATAAGTAACAGTTGATCAGAAATGTAGCAGCTGTGAAACTCATCCTCAGCAACCACAGCTCTGACAAGCAGTTACCATGTATTTAACACACATGAAAAGCTTTCTAAACCTGCATTAAGAAGGCCAAGAGCCTAGTGAAGTCTCAGGGGGCCTTGATTGCAATGACGTAGCTGTCGCCCCTCGGCCTCTGGCTCCGATGGAGACGGGTCGGCGGGGGCCAATGTTCACGCGCTGCCGGCTTTGCGAGGAAGCACTGACACCAGTCAGTGACCGGCAGAGCAGGGCCAGCGACGCCCCTGTCCGCACCGCGTAGCTGCTGGACTCGGGACACACGGCCTCCTCTCTGCAAGACTGACGGCCCCCAGCACCTGTGGTCCCAGGTGCCGAGGGACACAGGCCTGTGCCTTCCCGCCTGGCCCGGCCCTCTCTTCTGCAAGGGGGCAGAAGCAGGTCATCCAGGGCCCTGTCCCAGACGGTTTACTCCGGCCTTCTCACTGGCCTGCCGGAGTCCCTGAATTCCCACCTCCTGGAACGAAGGACCTGAATGAGGCACTTTTGACCGTGTGGTCTGATTTCCAGATGGCTCCCCTCAGCACTGCCACACCCCCATCAGTGGACATGAGTTGTTTTCTTCCTGGCGAGCCCACTGGCCTCCAGAGGGATTCAGCACGTGGGACACCAGGAGCATGGTGTTCCGTGACCCGTCGCCCTGGAATCGTGTGGAAGTAGCCTGAAAAGGAGCCGGTGGGTCTCGACAGGATGAGGACCATGGCCCAGCCCCTGACCCTGTGGCCAGTTGTCTGCAGTGAGGGGTGGTGGGACCTGTGCGTCCAGGGGGAGACGTACCCCACGCCGGGCCGTGCAGAGTGAGCTCGAGGCGGGACCACAGCCCACTGCCCCTCGCCGCTGCTGCTCCCTGCTTCCCCAAGGTCGGGATGAGGACTTGGGACGCACGTGACACAGATGTGCCGCTGCAGAGTCCGAACTCTCGGCTGCCAGGTGCGGACGGCTAAGCTGCTCGAGCTCAAATCTTGAGGGGGACATTTATTAACCACGCCACCGGGGCTGGGCCAAGTGATAAAGGGCGTGCCCGCAGGGCTGCCCTGAGAACCCTGGCAGGCAGAGCTCCCAGGCTGGGCTCCCAGAGAGAGTGGAGGCGAGACGAGACACCCGCTGTGGACCGCCTGAGTGCTTCGCTTGTGTGGTCCCCTTCCAGCCTCCAGCCGCCTTGTCTCTCTGTCCCCTTGGGTGGGCCGATGGGGAGAGGGAGCCCCACAGCACCTCTGCCACACTACGCCCCAGGGGCGCTGACCCGGAGCTGTGCTTTTCCACTTTGGTTTTCTTTCTCAACCCGGGATGAGCAAACATCCTCCCGAGCGTGAGGGCCTGTGACGCCCACAGCTTCCTTCTAGCAGGTCTGCCTCCCGTGTCCACATCCCTCCCACCCAGACGCTTGTTAAAGGTGCAGGCTCCTGCCCGGACCTTCTCAATCAGGACCTGGGGCTCTGAGAGGCCTGGCTCCGGCACCACCTTAATCAAGCTCCCCGGCTGGGTCTTGTTTTTTTAACACAATCATAGCTCCACATAAGCCAGAACTTCTTGGTTTTGACACTCGGGCTGTGGAGAAATACCACTCCACTGCAGGACAAATATTTACCTATCTGCTGCGATGGTTTAGCCTCTTTCGTGAACATTTACCCCCCCGGGCTCTGCCACGTTCCACAGAAGAACGCGGAATGACACGAACCCTTCCAATTGGCGCTGACCTCAGCGTCCCTCCAGGTCACGGTGCAGAGGGCGACTCGTGTGGCCCCTGCACTGACCAGCCTTCTGGCCATCAGGTGGCCAGTGTGGCTGGGCCCTCAGGTCACCGCCTGCAGAGAATGGCAGCCGCCCCTCTGGCCCCTCGGCTGGGGCCCACGTCTCCCGTGCCGCCAGGAGGGAGGGTGGCTCGCTGGCACCTGCTGCCCTCCCGTTGGGGCATCGCATAAGTTGATACCATATGGTGCTCTCGCAGCAGCAGGAACAGGCGCGAGGTGTCACCGTCGGGAAAGCAGTGAGAAACTTAATTTCTTGGTGAGGTGGAAGATTTTCCACGTTCGCATAAGTCCCTGCAGACGGTTCCTGCCTGGCAGCTCTATTTCCCGTCTCCTCCCATTCCCACGCACTCAGTTACCGCGTCCACTCTTGGGATGAGCTGCAGGCGAAGCTCCCTGTAGGACTGTGAGACCCAGCCCGGTAACTAAAGCCGAGTTCTCAAGGTTGACCCCACCCGGGTTTGGCCACCTGGAGGAATAATGGGATTCCACCCACTCCTCCCTTGGTCCCCCTCCCCAAGCAGGGGGTCTGCAGGGCCCAGGAAGACGGCAGTGGGACTATGTCTATTCCTGTAGGATTTCCCTTCCGGGGAAATGGGAGGCGGGAGTCTGGGTGGGCTCAGGGGGCTGTAGGACACAGAGCTGAGGGGACAACCCAAGCTGGGATTCCTCCCGTGCAGCCCCCCAGCTCTGGGCTGTAAGCAAAGCGTCGGGTGGAGGTTGGCTGAGCCACCAACAGGGCATTGCCCACCATCCAAGAGGAAGTGGTTTTGAGTAGTTAAGTCTTGTGCACTGGGGGCAGGGATGGGTGGGCATCCTGCTCTGCTGTTTCCTGGCTATGTGACCTTGGACGAGTCACTCAACCTCTCTGAGCCTCAGTCCCTGCCTGTGGGAGTAAAATGGTATTACCCCTTACTTCCAAGCTGAGGATCATATGGTAAACAGCGTCCCCCTGGGGCAAAATGGAAATCCAGGTGTGTGTGTGTATGTGTGTGTGTGTGTGTGTGTGTGTGTGTGTGTGTAGCACTGTAGGACTTTGCTGGACTTGAGGAGGCCTGAGCTTAGAGTCAAGTGGAGCTGCTGGTGTCCCATCCTGGGGGCAGTCCCCGTTCACACCAGCCAGCCAGGCCCACCTTGTGCCTTTTACCAGATGGAAGGACGGGAAGAGATGCAGGTACCAGGTCATGTCAGGCCGACGGTCACCGGGGCGCCAGGACATGCCCAGGGCACTGTGTTGTCACTCTTTAGGAGCAGGGGAAAACCAAACTAATAAAACCAGGCGGCCACCAGGAGCTCGGTGCTCCAGGGCCCGAGTGTGGACCGAGCTATGAGGTGACGAGGGAATCCATCGCTCAGTCGGGCATCCTGGGGGGCCATGGCTGCCCACTCAGAGCCTCGGGGCCGCTTGGCCCTGGGGGGATGTGGGGACAGCTCGTGGTGCTGGAGCCCCAGGGGCCTGCCAAGTCTCCTGGTCTGGGTCTGTCTAAATACTGGTCCTCATGGGCCGAGGCTGGGCTGCCTGTACAGGCCAGGCTGGATGTTGGGAATGCAGAGGACTCAGTGACCCACGCTTCCTGCAGCCCAGTCAGGACAGTAGGGCCCAGGAATCTGCATTGTAACAGACTCCCCAGGTGACTGGGGTACGCCAGGTGCTTCAGGCTGAAAACCCAGGACCCAGCCTCGACGTCTCCCTCTCCTCCACTCCCGTCCCCAAACAGTCCTGTTGACTCTTCCTTTGAGCCTATCCGGGCCCCCCACTGGTCGGTCCCTCACTTGACACCTCTCCTGTCCTGCCCGGCCCACGGCACTGCTCCCTGGACCGAGTTCCTCCTTCCTGGCGCTCAGGAACAGCTCTTGTCCCTAACCTCCCCTCCCCCACGGCGGCCGAAGGCATCTCTGGGACCACAAATCAGATGGTGTTCTTCAAGACTCTCACCACATGTGGGGCAACACAGGGACCTTTCCCTGGCCAGAGGCCCTGTGTGACCGGGTTCCGGCCTTCCTCTCCGGTCTGCTCTCCCAGCACCTCACCTGCTCACCACATTCTCGCTGCACAGACTTTTCCATTCCTTGGGTGTGCCAAGCTCATTGCTGCCCCAGGGCCTCTGCACTTGCCATTCTGTTTGCATGATCCTTGCACAGCCGGCTCCTAGTCGTGCAGGAGCTCAGCAGCGGCTCCTGGGAGAGGCCTTCGCTGACGGGCCGCATCGCAAGCACTTGCTTCCTGTCCCCAGCAGCCTGTCTCTGCCCTTCTCATGCCTGTGTTTCATTTTCTCTGTGGTTCCTTCCGTGTTCTGACAGTTTACTCTTCTCTGTCTGTTCACATGTTTGCCATCTGTCTCCACCAGCCAGTGTAAGCTCTCAAGGACAGGATAGGACCACGACGATGTGGCCACCACTGTACCTCAATGACGACCACAGAGTCGATGTTCGATAAATGTCTCCTCAATGACCAGGTAGGTTGCTGTTTTCTTCTGGCCTAAGATGGAGTTTCCTCTAAAAAACTAAAATTTCTTCTAAGGAGAAATCTGGAGGAAGAAATTCCCTTGTTTTTTTATAAGCCCACATTTTTGTTGCGGTTGATGATTTAAGAAAACGGTCAAGAAGTCTTCTCTGATCCTAAAATCTTCCTCAGGGATTGGTGTCATTGTCAAGTCAATAGTTTTGTAGTGTTCGTGCTTAAGCCAAAGGGGATGGCTTTTCCCCAAACCCCTGGAAGAATTTTCCACCGTCAAAGACTTATTACCTTTATCCTCGATTGGGAGTTTTCAAATGTTGAAAGGATTTTAAGGATGCCAACTAATGATGCAGATTTTTTTGCCTTTCAATTTGTCCTTTACTTCAAAGACCTTAAACGTTCTGAAAAAGTAGCAGGAGTGTGTTGCTGTGGTTACGCCAGAACTCTGACTTGGAGTCCTGCTGCTGCCAGGAGCAGTGGAGGGTGAAGACGAAGAGAGTACTAGAAGACCTAATAGAGGGATGGACAGAGGGATGGGTGGATGAGCAGATAGATGGATGATGGACAGGTGTATGAGTGCATGGATGGATGGATGGAGGGAGGATGGATGGATAAGTGGATGGACGGATGAACAAATTGACGGATGGGGATATGGATGGATGGATGGACAGACAGACTGATGAATGCATGGATGGATGAGTGGATAGATGGATGAATGGATGGATGGACAAACAGACTGATGAATGCATGGAAAAATGAATAGATTTCTGGACAGACAGACAGATGGAGGGACACTGGCCTAATAGATTATGGATGTACTACTCACTCCCTGCCATCCTTTATCAACCAATTTCAGACTGAGCATTAAATTGAGAATTTGCATCAAGCCTGTCCAAATCTACATGTTAAATCTGCAACCTAGATTACCTTTGTATTCTATTATTTTTAATAGGAAGCCTAAATCTTGATCTGGCCGCTTATTTCCAGAGTCAACGTGCCCAGACCTGGGCCCTGCCAAGTTGGCCACGGAGGACAGCCATACCTCCTCTCCCTTCTCTGTCAGTTCCAGAGGCATTAGGTGAGTTGAAAATGCTGTGCATCCAACCCTTGCCCAGCTCCAATCTGCACTTCAGCTCCCTGGGCTGAGGCCATGATGCACCACTGGAGAGAGGCAGCCACAGAGCACATCACAATGCAGGGAGGGGTTTCTGTGCAAACATGGAGCCCATCAGCTGTGTCCTCTCTTCCCGACTTTGTTTTATGTGTGTTAGACTGTTGCTGAAGCCATGAGGTCAGATAAGATCCCCGGTTTGTCCTCGCGATGCACCACGGGGAGAGATGAGCTGCATGCAGGCGGGTTGAGCCTGCTGGTTCCTCCCACCCCGGGCTCTGAGATGCTGCTGAGGGGTCTGCTTAATTCTGCTGTAGACACACACTGAGGCTCCGTGGCTTTTC